AAATGCGTAAGGCAGCTATCCAGCGCATGAAGACGGGTGATAGACAGCCCTACCCTCACAAATTCCACGTCTCAATGGGCCTGCCTGAGTTTATCGAAAAGTATAGCAGTCTCGAGGCGGGGCAGCATCTGGATGACGTCGAAGTCAGCCTCTCAGGTGTGTTTTCCTCGGCGTTCGCCAAATGTTTCTTGAGTCTTATCTAGTATTGGTACCTACCAAACTCGGCTGTTTGCCGTGTCTTTCCTATTAAGTTTGAAGCGTGCTCCATCACATGCACTGCGACAAGTTGTAGCAGAGAAGACGGTAGACAATGACTGGCACTACTCAGATACAGGCCCACGTAGTTGCAACAGATGAACCCGCCCCTGGTACCCCTTACAATCACGATAGAAGGCGAAGTAATCAGCGTTTCCAGTTTTCGTTGTGATATCAAAACGAATACAATCTGCTCCATCTTTTGGTCTCAATGATGCTTCGTTATTGAAGATCTCACCTATCATAGGAGTCGATTAGTTAGGTCCATTTGAGTATCTCTGGTCTTCGCTTCGGCTTATGGATGCATAGATGTCCACAAATAAGGCTGTCGTAGTAAAAAGAATTTTTAATGTTTCATTCTTGCTGTGTCAAGTTACTGTCATCTAATTCATGGGTCATCTGGCTTACTACTAAGTTGCTGCTTGTAAGCAGCTGCTTACTTCACAAATGAACTCAGCGGACGACAGTTTTATTGACTGCCACCCTTGAATGCACCAAGAACTAGGTTAACTACCAGGTTCCGTCTTCCCGTGGATCGCTTTCGTCTTATACATAATTCAAGGATCCTTGTGCTGGGTGTGCCCATTCACAATAAGCTAATCAGGTTTGTGGGAACTTCTCCCACTGTCAGGATTCAAGGCTGCATACTATACATTCTAGACCACAAATTCCCTTAAGTTGGTGAATTCCAAGTCAACACACGTTAATTTTAAATGACGTGAGTATTTTCCAATCCCCAAAATGTCGCGCTCTTAAATGCGACTTCGAAGAACGCATACATGTTGCGCACGAAAAAATTTGGGCCTTTGCCACTCAA